CTCTCTCCCTCCCTCCCGCCCTCCCTCCCTTCCTTCCTTCCTTCCCTCCTTCCTTCCTTTCTTTCTTTTTTTGACGGAGTCTCACTCGGTCGCCCAGGCTGGAGTGCAGTGGCGCAATCTCTGCTCACTGCAAGCTCCGTCTCCCAGGTTCACACCATTCTCCTGCCTCAGCCTCCTGAGTAGCTGGGACTACAGGTGCCCGCCACCATGCTTGGCTACTTTTTTTGTATTTTTTTTTAGTAGAGACAGGGTTTCACCGTATTAGCCAGGATGGTCTCAACCTCCTGACCTCGTGATCCGCCCGCCTCGGCCTCCCAAAGTGCTGGGATTCCAGGCGTGAGCCACCGTGCCCAGCCCCCACTTCTCTATTCTTTGGCCATGGAATAAAACTTATTCTGCTTGATGCTCACTTTTGATTTCACGTAATGGCTCTGTCACACTGAACAGGGAATGATCCCATCCTTTGGGGCTACTGAGTTTATCAGTAACAAAAGGAAAGAGAACTCGAGAGAGTCCTGTGAGTTACAGAATGTCATCAGGCTTTGAAGCAAGGGTTTCTCCAAAGGGAATAGCTTCTGCCTGGGCTTCTTGAGGCCAGAAGTATTTTGTGCACATGAAACAGTCCAGCACAATATCCAACCACCAAAACACCTGCATTTGCAGGGTCAGTAATCTCCTAAAGTTTGGTAACTACATTTAGTTCATTGCAAATCACAGACCCTTCACAGCCCAATCCGGGAAAGCAGGCGAAGGCAATAATGGCCATCTTGAAAACTTCAACCCAGTTAGACAACTGTGTCTGTATCTGACCGAGACACTTTCCAACCTTAGTCTGGGTGGGAATAAATGACTGCTTCATTCTTTGAGACCGGTTTCCCTAGATTACATCCAGAGGGGGGTGTTCTTTCTTATAATGAAACACCACTCGGGGACCCAGGGCTGCTTCAAATGACCTATAAGTAGAGAAACAAGTGTTTAAAACGTTATCTCCAAACCTAAAGTCACATGGGGAGAGCCTGGTTTCAGGTGCAGGGACTTGAGGGGTCAGGGGAGCTCATTATTAAGTCCAGTGATAGAGCAAACACCACATTCCTGGCACTAGTAGCTGTAACCCTCCATTTACGAGGAATCGTAATCACACAAGAGCGTGAATAGAGGCAGAAGTCGGTTTAATGACATGCTCTGCTCTTTGTCTGCATTTATTTTCTCTAGCAGGGGGATTCCACAAGTCTGAGCACCGTTAAACACACTGTCAATCACAAAGGGGAGCTTGTTTGAGAGGGTACTGGGCTTTGTAGTTAGCATCATCTGTGAAACTCTCCAGCTTCCAGTTGACCTGCAAGCCAGAATGTCACAAGGACACAGGGCACATCAGCCACATAGAGATTTAGTATTGATCCAGCTGGTTTTGTGTCTGGGGAAGTTCTGTTAAATGTTTCATGTGTCCTTCCCTATGCCATGGCCTGTGCCTCTGTATTTTCCTCACTTAATAAAACAATAGATTTGTATATTTGGAGTGGGCTGGGGAGGCAGAAAAGACCAGGGGGTGTCAATAACAGAAAATAACCATGATAGTGGAGAGAGAGAGAGTCATTGGAGATTATGGGCTATTTATTGGATATGATGTGTAATCGAGTAATTGGATGTATTTCTACATTAGGCACAGTTGCTTAAATCAAAATTGAAATGGAGTCATAAAATCTCACAACATGAATGCTGTTAACTAAAGTCTATAATGAGGGGGACTTGAGTTTTGCTGATGCTAATGGGCCTCCATGTGAATTCTCACCATGATGGATGGCCCCCGCCCACAGTCACTGGGCAGCTCAGTTCACCAAAGGAAAACAAGTTATTTATCTTAATCAGGCATCCTGCCTCAAACATCCACCTACACTGCAGTTGAAGACCTCACTCTGCCTCCCTCCTCCCAACGGGAAACCGTTGAGGGCTCCTTGATTTCTCCCTTAATAATTGAGTGTTGAATTAACAAAACTTTCCACTCCCAGAACATTGCTGCTTCTTAACATGTAACAGGGAAAAGAAATATGGAACTGGGGTACAATGTAGAACAGGGGTTCTCAAACTGGGCAGTATTGACATTTGGGTCTGGATAACTCCTTGTTGGTGGGCAGGGGGCCTTGCGATTGTAGGACATTTAGCAGCATCCCTAGTCTCTAACCCTCCACCCATTGGATGGCAGTAGCACCTACCTCTCAAAGTTGTGACAACTAAAAAGATGTCTACAGACATTGCTATATGTCCCCTGAGAGGTACAGTCAGCCTCTCCATCACCCAGTTGAAAACAACTGGTGTGGACAGTGGCAGACAGCCGCATGAGGGGGGAACTCAGGTAAAATGAGCCTGACTCAGAGCCCTTTAGAGTATCCAAACGAAGCTGTGTTCCTCTCCTGGCTGACTCCAAGGGTATAAGTTGAACAGATAATGACAGAGCTGAACTGGTCCTTGGGATATATCATAACCTGTACCAACAGATGCACGTTCAGTTTTGGCTGCAGAAGTCTACCATGATGCAGTTTTGGTTTGATTCCCAAATATGGTTTTAACCATCACTGAACATAAATTCTCTTGCTTTGCTTTCCCAACAGCCCACAGAGGATGAATATTCTCACTTGACTGCTCATAGTTCCTTTCTGTGCCTGTTGGATAGTATGGTTGGTTTCAAAGCCCCAGTTGCCAACAGGCCTTGGGTACACCAGCTGCAGCATAAATTCACCATTCTCTAAAGACAAGAGCTGTGATTCCACATTCCTTTACTCTGGCCACGTTATACTACCACAGCTAGGAAATGAGCAACAAAACAGGGTAGAGTCAGAGAGTGCTAAAGACAGGCCAGCCTCACATCTTAGGTTGTCAGTACTATGCAAAGGCTCTTACTGACTCCAAGATAAAGGAAAAACTGATTCAATTCTGAAACCCCCAAATCATTCCTCGAATCCAAAGTGATTGAATAAAAGTGAAAACCTGGCATTCGTAGCTTACAAATAAATCATGTTCCAAAAAAAAAATGTCTGCCTCCAAGTCAGTTGTTTGGGAAACACAACGCATCCTTCCTTAGCGAAAATGTACTAAGCAACAATGATACCACTTTGCATGTGTGTAGTAAATTTCCATTTACAAAGAACATTTGGACCCATTATTTCTTTCAATCTACGAAAAGCTCTGTGAAATATTTAGGGATTAATTGTTCCTGCGCTCAAAGAAGAAACTGGCTCAAAAGGGATCAATGAGAAGCAGTCCATAAAAGGCCATTTGGCCCATAATATTCTCCATGGGGAAATGCCCTAACCACATATGTGGAAAACAATTCTGTGGGAAAATATTCCCAGTTCCAAGGGGGGGCTGTGCCTTTGTTTTTGTTGGCCCAGTGACTCTCTCCATCCTTCCGTCTCATGATGTGGCTTCTTATCATCCAGCATTTCATCCGAGTCATTGATTAAAAACAGAACAAGGGCAGGCTCAGACCTGTGACCCTCTTCTGACCTCCCCCATCAGGAGGGCCTCAGACCTTAGTAGCACTTGATACTTGCTGTGCTGTCCAAACCATGTCAGCATCTCTTTCCCTATACCCTTCACCCTTCAGCTCAAAGCTAGGCTGGGGTCACAGGACACCCAGAGTATGAGCTCCAGGAGGATATGGGGGTAGGGATGAGACTAGAAAGGAACAGGAGAAGCTGGGCAGTGCTGAAAAGAGCACAAGGTCTCCAGAGAAGATGAGGAAGGAGGGGCTCTCAGCTAGGAGTTCCCCTCAACTCTGTCCCCATCCATTGCCTCATTACCACTACAAAAAAAAAAAAAACCTGGAAAAGGTAGGAAAAAAGAAAAGGAAAAGTCCTGCAAGGCAGCTGGCTGCAAAGACAGAGAGAGGGGGGAGATGAACAATGCCCAGCAACAGTTGGAAAACAAGAAAGGGAGAGGAGGTTTGGGTCACAGACCTATCATGGAAGCCCATTCACCCAAAGAAGCTGGATTCAGGCACGTTTTCTTTGCTTTGTTTTGTTAAAATTGACACATATGGTGGAGCTCTTTCCCAGTGCTTCTTAGACTTCATCAGCAATGATAGGCTTGCTTAACAACCATGACGATTCTAGACCACTGCTCCAGATGCACCTTAACAACCATGACGATTCTAGACCACTGCTCCAGATGCACCTCTAGAGAGTCCAATTTCTAGATCAGGGCAGCCTGATCAAGGTGATCCAAGGATTCCCCTTGGGAAACCCTGCCCTAGACCCCACGCTTCCCAGAGGCCACACCTCCTGTGGACATCACCTCCGTCTCGGCTCTCTGTGTGCTCTGGCAGGTGGTGGTTTTCTTTTAGACAGTATGAGCTGCAGTTTCTCTGCAGAAGGACATGGCATGGTTTAGTTATATTTCAGGAACAAGCCCCTCCCTTATTTTGTGTTATTTGGATTTTTAACAAATATTCCAGGACTGACGTGTGTGTGTGTGTGTGTGTGTGTGTGTGTGTGTGTGTGTGTGTGTGTATAGGCAAACCTCACCCCAGGCTTGCAGCTGTGGCTTGGAGCATTACTGGAATGAATCCCTGGCTGGATATACCTTTCAGAAGAGCATCCACGGTGACAAATATGTCCTTGTAGGCTGGATTCAATAAGCAAAGGAAGCCAAAAACCACTTGGCACTAAGTCTGAGGACTGAGGCAAGTGATCCAGCAGGAAAATCACATTTGGGTCTCAGGCCAAGGGTGACTCTAAATCAAAGGGCCTGACATTCTGGCAGGACTCAAGCAGTCTCCTGGAGCATGAAGGAGGAAGAAGACCTCCAATTCTTTCCCCAAGAAGGCCAGACCTCATTTGAACCAGCATATTTGCTTCAAAATTATATCCACTCTGTCATTTCAGCCTCCTCTGGTTTCGGACAATGGGCACTTAGCTCCCCACAACTGGTGCATTTCTACACCCATCCCTGGAGGAGAGGGGCAACCACGGTGAGGTCTAGTCAGGCCCTGGGCAGGGACTCACCTTGCCAGTGATGCTTGTAGTCACACATGCGGGACAGGGCAATCATCATGGCGCAGTACAAGGGCAGGATGGCAGCACAGAGCCGCCAGCTCTTTCCCCGCCCACTCTCGGTGAAGCAGTGCAGCTTTCCCGCCAAGTAGAACGTCGTGAAGCCAAGGCCTGAAAAGGCAACTGCCAAACAGAAACAGCAGGTGTTACTCTAGCAGGTGGTGAGTGGCAGGGAGTCAGAGCATGCTGGGCATTCCGTCTGCCACCTTGCACACCCTCAAGGCCAAGGCCATGTTGGCACCAGGCACTCTCTAGGCAATCTGTGCTCCTGCTAGAACCAGGCTGCTATGAAACTTTCAACCATAAGAATAATCTTCCAGGGTTACATGTGATCAAAACCTATTTTATTTCATCCATTCATTCAACAGTTATTTCAGGAGTCTCCACTCTGTGCTAGACAGGCACTGCACTAGATGTGGGGAAAAAAAGATGCATCAGATATTATCTCTGGAGTCAAGAGGCTCATGGTCTAGTTGAAGGACATACCATACTAAGAGATAATTTTAATATAATGTGATACATTCTATAAGAAACAAGTACATACAGAGCAAAGGACTGTGAGAACTGCTTAGATCTGAAGGGTATGGGAAAGTAAAGGGGCTAGGATCAGCCCCAGGTTTTTGGGTTGGGAGACTGAGTGTACAATGGTGGCATTCAGTAAGACGGGGCCAGCAAATGCTACAAAAGAGTGAGTTTCATGGAGAAGTCAGTGATGACAAATACCTTGTTTTCTGTCCGAAATAATGGTTATTGTTTTTTCAGAATTGCAAAGAAAACTCATGGCTGTGCTAAATCCATTGTTGAAAGCGTGGAGGTCTGAGTGTAGCATACATAAGCCCCAAGCTTTACTTACATCCAAGCAGGTATAAAACATAGTTGGGAGCTCAGTGAGATTTAAGGTGGGAAGGGCTTAGAACAATGGTCCTCAACCAGGAGGTCCTCAACTCTCCAGGAGGCTGGAGAGTTGGCTCCCATTGGTATTGACCCCATCCTGAGCCCTTTCAGGAGGAATAATGAACTTTATTCAAATCAGGTGGCTTAGCAAGTTTATCCACCTAATTACAGTAAATGCAGGAAGCACAAAAAAACTGCCCTGGGGCTTTGTGTGGTTAGGGATGAAAGTCTCCAAGATCTGAATCAGAGGAGAGGCAGCCTTGGGTGTTGCCAAACTGGCATCTCTTAGAGAAACAAAGCAGCAAACAAATCAATGAATATAGTTGAGCTGTTGAGCTATACAGAGTCACCTCTAATACCTGGGAAGCTTTAAAAAATACTGATAGCCAGGTTCCATTGCCAGCCATTCTGTTTGTAGTGGTCTGGTGGGAGCCGAGAGAAAGAGAGAGAGAGAGAGAGAAAGAGAAAGAGAGTGTGTGTGTGTGTGTGTGTGTGTGTGTGTGTGTGTGTGTGTGTACTCCCCAGATGATTCTAATGGCGGCCACAACTAAGCTTTGAGGCTTTCATTGAAGGCAGGTGCTACAGCTCCCCATCCCTCTGGACACCAGTCTAATCCAAACTTTCTTCTTGATTAGAAAGTACTTCTGAGGGGGCAGAGCTCCTAGGTAACCAGCCCACACAATGACTTGGCAAAACAAGTATTATAAATATTCTCAATGCCAATACACCAGCAACTTTAAGAGACTGCCCAAAGCCCTGAGCCACAGCCTGAGCATCATGCAGGCATTGGTGACAAATGCAGATCCTCAGATCCAGCCCACATCTACTGAGTTAGAATCTGCATTTCACAACATCCACCAGCAATCTGTGCACACACTGCACTTGGAGAAGACTTGGCCTAAAATACATTCATTATCTTTGTAAGAGACCTTGGAACGTCCATCTTAAGAAAATAATATAAAATACAAGGGAAATCTAGAAGGTTTTCTGCTCAAAGTTATTGATAAATATTGAAAAACTGAAAGTGATCAGTACAGAAGAACAGATAAGCAAGCTGTGACATTTCCATGTAATGGACTATGATGCAACCATGAAAACCACGTGATTCACATCTACAACATCTGATCTTTGACAAACCTGACAAAAACAAGAAATGGGGAAAGGATTCCCTATTTAATAAATGGTGCTGGGAAAACTGGCTAGCCATATGTAGAAAGCTGAAATTGGATCCCTTCCTTATACTTTATACAAAAATTAATTCAAGATGGATTAGAGACTTACATGTTAGACCTAAAACCATAAAAACCCTAGAAGAAAACCTAGGCAATACCATTCAGGACATAGGCATGGGCAAGGACTTCATGTCTAAAACAACAAAAGCAATGGCAACAAAAGCCAAAATAGACAAATGGGATATAATTAAACTAAAGAGCTTCTGCACAGCAAAAGAAACTACCATCAGAGTGAACAGGCAACCTACAGAATGGGAGAAAATGTTTGCAATCTACTCATCTGACAAAGGGCTAATATCCAGAACCTACAAAGAACTCAAACAAATTTACAAGAAAAAAACAAACAACCCTATCAAAAAGTGGGTGAAGGATATGAACAGACACTTCTCAAAAGACGACATTTATGCAGCCAACAGACACATGAAAAAATGCTCATCATCACTGGCCAGCAGAGAAATGCACATCAAAACCACAATGAGATACCATCTCACACCAGTTAGAATGGCAATCATTAAAAAGTCAGGAAACAACAGGTGCTGGAGAGGATGTGGAGAAATAGGAACACTTTTACAATGTTGGTGGGACTGTAAACTAGTTCAGCCATTGTGGAAGATAGTGTGGCAATTCCTCAAGGATCTAGAACTAGAAATACCATTTGACCCAGCCATCCCATTACTGGGTATACACCCAAAGGATTATAAATCATGCTGCTATAAAGCACATGTATGTTTATGCACATGTATGTTTATTGCGGCACTCTTCACAAGAGCAAAGACTTGGAACTAACCCAAATGTCCGTCAATGACAGACTGGATTAAGAAAATATGGCACATATACACCATAGAATACTATGCAGCCATAAAAAAGGACGAGTTCATGTCCTTTGTAGGGACATGGATGAAGCTGGAAACCATCATTCTGAGCAAACTATCGCAAGGACAGAAAACCAAACACCGCGTGTTCTCACTCATAGGTGGGAATTGAACAATGAGAACACTTGGACACAGGAAGGGGAACATTACACACTGGGGCCTGTCATGGGGTGGAGGGAGGGAGGAGGGATAGCATTAGGAGAGATACCTACTGTAAATGACGAGTTAATGAGTGCAGCACACCAACATGGCACATGTATACATATGTAACAAACCTGCAGGTTGTGCACATGTACCCTAGAACTTAAAGTATAATAAAAACAAATAAATAAAAGAAAACCACGTGATTATGTAACAATATAGACAACACTTAGGATGCATGCTGAGTGAAACAAGTAGGACCCTAAAATGTAAGTTCAAGAAAATCATTACTATAGTACCAAACAGTGAACAACCTGCAGCTTTTCCAAATTATCTCTGATAAGAATGTGCCTTCTTAAAAGCGATCTTGGTTACAAACACAAGATTATACCAAAGTAGAACTTTTTCAGCAACCAAATTAAACAAAGTTACAGTGGCTTAAAAAAAATTTTAATGGAATATTAAACCAGGTTTATCCTAGGTATAAAAATGCAGCAAAAGAAAGTAAATGCAAATGTGAGTGGTGTGTGCACTGAGACATTTCTGCATAATGATTAGCATTCAAACATCAGAGCCGTGCCAATATATATTAAGTATTCTGCTGAAAGTAAAAATAAGTGGGAAGAAACCACATTGCTCAACCCTACTCTAGATACTGTGGAGGAAGGTTATTAAGGGGTTTACGTGATGTTCCAAAGTGGCCCTATTTGGCCACCATCCTAGCAAGCACAACCACCTCTTAAATTCTATCCTCATCCACTTTGCTCTGTTCCTTCTATTAATTTCATTCTTCCTTGAGGTATCTGAGTGGGAGAGGAGGCTGGAGAGTTGGCTCCCATTGGTATTGACCCCATCCTGAGCTCTTCCAGGAGGAATAATGGACTTTATTCAAATCAGGTGGCTTAGCAAGTTTATCCACAGAATTACACTAAATGCGGGAAGCACAAAAAAACTGCCCTGGGGCTTTGTGTGGTTATGGATGAAAGTCTCCAAGATCTGAATCAGAGGAGAGGCAGCCTTGGGTGTTGCCAAACTGGCATCTCTTAGGGAAATAACAAACAAAGAAATCAATGAACATAGGGCAGCTATTGAGCAGGAATTTCTGTGTCCCCATAAAAAATGACTTGGAGACTTTAAGACATATGAGTCATCAGCTCAAGCAACCAATACTGCCTGCAGCACCTCCGGGCACATCCAGGGCATGGAGAAGGGAAAGGGCCGTGCAAACCCTCCACTGTCAAGACCTTGGGCAAATGGTTTGAGGTGAGGTTCTCAGGCTCCTCCTGATCTCTCTGTCTCAGGAACTCGAATTTGGCCAGCATTGGCACCACAGGCTCTGACTCATTCTTTGGAGGGCAGGTAAAATGTATTCTCTCCCACACGGTGGGAGTCAGGACCACCACTGCGACCTCTCCAAAATGTTGGAGCCTCTGCCTCTTTGAAAAAGAGGATAAATTATTCCAAGCCATCTTTACAGGCTATATGTAAGAGCCTAGATCCTGTGAGCACCCAGCAGCAGCCAGTCTTCCTGGACACATGCTACTGGGTCTTTGAATATTTTTTTAAACATCACTGTGTGCCCTTACTTTCCTAAGTTACATGATGAGGCTCCAATTTCATGCTAAACCTTATCCTTGTCACTTTCTTACTGATATTTATAGTTATTGAACTAACATAATATCCTTTGACAAAGGACTTCTGGCCCAAGGGCATGTCTGAGCTATGGGAAGCCTTGGTTCTCTGCACTCCGGTTTTTCCAGTAACTACTTGAGGAAGAATGAGACTCTACCAACCTATACTGACTTAGTATGATTTCATAATTTTTCTGCCATCTCTTCCTGGCAGCTAAGGGGTTGGGGACCAAGATGCGATCTCTCCCATGAGCCATCTCCTACCCAACTCTGAAATTCTAGGACTCTAAAGCATCAAGGCTCAGATTCAAGTTCAACTGGGAGGAAGAAAAACAACAACAACAAAAAACCAG